GGTAGTTTATGAGTGTGAATGTTTCTACATGCTCAGTTGAGCCTCAGTAGACCCCTGGAGGGCACTGTAGTATTTACTACTTGCTTCGTGTTTTGTTTTCCTTTTGTTTCATTTCATTTTGTTTTGTAGTAGATGCTCCGCAGGGACTATGAGAGATGTGACACGGTGTGGCATGGCTGTCTGCTCCCAAAAAACTCATGATCATACCCTTCAGTGTCTGTAGGACGGACAATCCGTCTGCATCACGTGTCACCGAGACATATATCTCAAGTTGATGCCTTCCCTTAAAATCCCCAAGCTTGTTCCTCTTGAACCTTCTCCACCCAAGTACACAGTCCCCACCCTAACCAGCCCTACAAATCCAGTTGACTAAAGGCCACTGACTAAAGGCCACTCCAGTCTACCCCCGAATTTTTAATATGTTCCCGACAAAGGTCCAAAATCAAATGATGGGTATAAAAATTGCTCCCTCAAACCAGAGTTGTCAATGAAGAATTGGGGGTAAGAAAACAACCTACCTGGAGGTCAGAACAGGCGCTAGAAGTCCCCCGGTGACGAAGTTTCCGTATCCTCTGATCACAATAGTGTGAGTTACTGTCACCTTTTAAAACTAGGGCATGTTAGGAACCAACCAAACTACTCCTGCCAAACAAACAAAAAAAATTCATTTCTCCCTCCAGAAGCATTATCTGAAGAAAAGAATTCAATTTTTCCTCACTATAATAAAGGGTCAGAGGAGCACGGTCATATGTCGCAAAAATGCTGAACAAAATCCATGAAACCATTGCCCATCATAAGCAACTGAATCAAGTGCCCCTTTTTGGAGAGGGAAGACAGCACAGCTACACGAAAGCACAAAGTAAGCTACAAGAGACGAACAACGACAGGAAGCATGGTGGTGATGCTCAAAATAGAGTCAATAGGAACTTCTCACACACCCCAACCGTTTGCCCCTCCCCACCCCGTCACACTAGACTTCACAGAGGTTTTCTTTTTTTTTTTTAAATTTTTTTTTTTAATGATTTTTTTTTAATGTTTTATTTATTTCTAGGAGAGAGAGAGAGAGACAGCGTGAGCAGGGGAGGGTCAGAGAGAGAGGGAGTCACAGACTGAAACAGGCTCCAGGCTCTGAGCCGGCAGTCAGCACAGAGCCCGACGCGGGGCTCGAACCCACCAACCGCGAGATCATGACCTGAGCGAAAGTCGGACGCTTAGCCGACTAAGCCACCCGGGCGCCCCTTCACAGAGGTTTTCTATTGTCGATGCACGAGACACATAAGAAAAACTTACAAGTCCAATGAATCCTGTTGACCAAAGGCCAGTCTTCCCACTGCCCTCAGAATCAGCACATGCAGCCGTACACATGGCTTTTTCCCCCAGTTTATCACGACATCAATTAACGACAGCAACAAAAATCCATCGTGTATTCTGAACCCCCAGAATACTCAGTTTCACAATATTGTGCAAACCACTAGGTCAGTAGCTTTCTCAAGCAATATTCCAACTGTAATCGACTGCCAAAATATTTACATCAAAATGACATCTATCTACCAAATAACCAGAAGTCACGTTGCTCTATGTCATTTCTTAGTCTATTACAGGCACAAGCCTCAATTACATTTCTTTCCAACCCTTGCTATGAAGGCCTGTCCCTTTCCCCCAGGAGAAACAACTTCCGGTGGATGCCATTTTAAAATTCCATTACCAGTAAGAATTCTGTTACTGTCCATGAAATGTATCGAACATAATACAAATAATCTCTTTGTGATCTTGGATTGAATGTGCCAGAAAGATGCCAGATATAAAACAAATCATCAGGGTGCCTAGGTGGCTCAGTCGGTTAAGCGTCCGACTTCGGCTCAGGTCATGATCTCACAGTCCGTTGGTTAGAGCCCCGGTTCAGGCTCTGTGCTGACAGCTAGCTCAGAGTCTGGAGCCTGTTTCAGATTCTGTATCTCCCTCTCTCTCTCTGACCCTCCCCTGCTCATGCTGTCTCTCTCTCAGAAATAAATAAAACATTTAAAAAAAATTTTTTTTAAATCATTAATGGTCTTGGTTGCACCCAACTATCAATTTACTTATAAAGATGTCACCAACCCCATTAATTACACCCCCAAAGACACTCTGCAATTATAAATATTGACCACCAACTGTGAACATAAATTCAAAACAGAGGATAGTTTATGAACTGATAGTCCAAATAAAGGGATTATCTCCATTAAAAGTGACAGAATTCAGTGGTCCAGTTAGTACTAAAGTCAACACAAAAGTAGAAAAAGTAGAAAAGTCATGTTAAAACACCAGAGATAATTTAGGTGTGACCTGGCTGGCTCAGTTGGTAGAACATGCAACTCTCGATTGCAGAGTTGCGAGTTCGAGCCCCACATTGGGTGTGGAGATTACTTACAAATAAAATCTTTAAAAAAAAAAAAAAGCACCAGGAATTGTTTAAACAAAGCAAAAATATCAAACCTAACTCCTTGCAAAGTACACCCTTCTAGACAATTGGTTAGGTTTCCTGTTTGCGAAGATCCCTCCTTTCAAACAACAGCTAATATTTCCATTTCAGGTAAGAAAAGTGTTTCTGGTCCTTGATCATTTCTAGTCTGTAACTCTTGATGTAGAACAACAATTTTCTATCTGTGGTAAAAGACCAGTTCTGATGTTTCCCACTTAGAGCAGGCTACCACATGGTCCTGCTGTGTGGACTGGAATCAAAGTATCCGCAGATCAGCCGTCTGGGGGCCACAGTTTGAGTAATTAGTAATACCATTCTGGAGTTCTAACCTCTACTGAGAAGTACAGTTTAAGCACCTTCTGAACTCTTCAATGACTAACATTCACAAGCCAATTTATAATGGTTTTTATTTATTTTTTGTTCCAGAGGCAGAAAGACAGGTGATTTATCCACCTTTGGAAACACAGCTAGACTAAAATTAAAGGAAGGAAAAGGGATTTCTTTTAAAAATCCATTTTGGGGGGCGCCTGGGTGGCTTAGTTGGTTAAGCGTCCGACTTTCGCTTAGGTCATGATCTCGCGGTTCGTGGGTTCAGGCCCCGCGTTAGGCTCTGTGCTGACTGCCAGCTCAGAGCCTGGAGCCTGTTTCAGTCTGTGACTCCCTCTCTCTCTGACCCTCCCCTGCTCACGCTCTCTCTATCTCTCTCTCTCTCCTAGAAATAAATAAAACATTTTTAAAAAAATAAAAAATAAATAAAAATCCATTTTGGAGGGCATCTGGCTAGCTCTCAGAGTCATGAGTTCAAGCCCCACATAGGGTAGGGAGTCTAAATAAAGTAAATAAATAAATAATTTTTAAATCTATTTTTATGTCTTTTTGTCTTATGTCTTGAACATAAGACAAAGTTAAGAAAGTGCCTGAAATATCCTTAATCCCTAATATTTCCTGCTCTCCAGCCTTTTAAAGAAGTATAGCCTCTTCTGTTAGAATAACTGCACTGGCTACAAAGGTTTTAAAAACCTGTTCTTCTACCAAACTTCTCTTTCCCTCCAGAGGATCTTTTAAAAGGTAAACGATTTAGGGGCACCTGGGTGGCTCAGTCTGTTAAGTGTCCGACTCTTGATCTCGGCTCAGGTCATGATCTCGCAATTTGTGAGATTGAGCCCACATCAGGCTCCATGATAACAGTGCAGAGCCTGCTTGGGATCCTCTCTCTCCCTTTCTCTGTCCCTCCCCCCTACTCGCTTTCACACTCTCTCTCTCAAAATAAATAAATAAACTTTAAAAGGCAAATAGTTTAGAAATATAACTTGTTTCTATAGGCTTACACTTTCCCTCCAATTAAAGTTCTATTCAGGGGCGCCTGGGTGGCTCGGTAGGTTAAGCGCCTGACTTTGGCTCAGATCCTGATCTCGTGGTTTGTGGGTTCGAGCCCCACATTGGGCTCTGTGCTGACAGTTCAGAGCCTGGAGCCTGCTTCAGATGCTGTGTTTCCCTTTCTCCCTGCCCCTTCCCTGCTCATGCTCTGTCTCTCTGTCTCTCAAAAAATGAATAAACATTTAAAAAAATTAAATTTCTATTCAGAATTGAAGTAGAAGACCATCAGCAGGGACTACATTTCTATGTTACATGGCAGCAGCTCTTGAAAATGGCAGGAAAACGTAGGGAAGTAGTTTGAGTTTCACCCAAATGACTTATCTTATGATCAGAAAACAGGCTATCTGTGTGTACAGACTTGTCAGATCCCAAACTAAATAAGGAAACCACCCAGACTTGGATTCGTAGGCTCCCTTCTTGGGACTAACTTAAAGTTTCACTTAGCTGGGCACGTCAGAGGGCCCCAGGAGTCTCTCAGCTCATGTCCATGTTTGTGTGCATATAAATACTCCCAGCCATTAACACTGCAGTCTTCAATTTAGGACCTTTACGCTCATGGAGCCAAACAGCCCGGCCTGTCTTATATCAGTGAAGCTTTGTCTTTAAGACGTCACCAGAGGGGCGCTTGGGTGGATCAGTCGGTTAAGCATCTGACTGTGGTTCATGGGTTCCAGCCCCATGTACGGCTCTGTGCTGACAGCTCAGAGCCTGGAGCCTGCTTCAGATTCTGTGTCTCCGTCTCTCTCTTCCCCTTCCCCACTTGCACTCTGTCTCTCTCTCTCAAAATAAACAAACATTAAAAAGTTTAAAAAAAAAATCCTTGCCTACTTTTCCAGAGAAAAAGGCTGACGAAAAAGGTAATCTAGAGGAGTGAGACAATGAAATGTCTCAAGCACAGGGACTTTCTTATCTTTCTCCTTTTGGGCACACAACAGGAAAAATGGGAAGCCTCAGGGCCAGCCTTGATTCACTCAGAATTAACTCAGCAAGGTCCTCAGAAACCAAGGGCATTCCACAAAGAACTCATTAGTCCTTCGAGTCACAACATCCAACCTTCACCGTGTAATGTAACAAAAATGCAACTATAGTAACAGTGAAAACATGTGCCTCTCAGGGTTCCACAAAATTGGACAGGGTGGTGGCTTTCGAACACAGAATGAGCAACAACAAATTCTAAAACCTCTCCCCTTACCCCCCACTCCCCCAGAATTTTCTGCTATGTGAGTGTCTCTCGATTGGACAGGTTGGACCGAATTCGCTGTCTGCGGTCAGAATCCTCTCCGGCGGGGTCATTTTCCTCACCAGACTCCACATAGATTGGCCAGTCATTATCTGTGTCACTCTTTTCTTGGCTTTCGGACGAGGCCTCCACCAGGCTAAGGTTGATGGGCATCAAATCGTCCTCGTCGACGTGCGGGTCTGTAACACAGGTACAGCTGTCACACAGCCCGAAGCGCCGCAGCCCCTGGGACAGGTGACTTGTGAAGGTTCTTCTGCAGCCCTTGCAGATGATTGGACGGTTGGATCTATGGACCTAAAATGACAAGAAGACACGGGAAACGCTCTCCCCCTTGCTCTCTCTGCCACTGCCTCGGCCTCACCAAGGTGCTTCTGCCCCAAGGCCATTGGCTATGCGAGGAACGTGCCCACCTCCCATTGCCAAGGACTCCCTTAGTGCTAATGCCTTTGAAGGAACTCTTCACTGATGCTCTGGGTCAGATTAGGTCCTCAGCTATGTAGTCCCACCTATACTCCTTCCTTTGTTGATTTTCTAACAAATTATTGGTAAATTCACTAGACTGTAAGCTCCAGGAAGGCAGGGACCATCCTCATTCATGTTCTCAGTCACATTTGTTGCTATATCCCTGTGTCCGGCATATAAAGGGCATTCAGGGAGCTAATGGGGATTTTAGGCACAGCTTTTTCTGTACCTGGGATTGTGTAGTTATTAGGGAGGCAGACTTGCTAGACGGTATCTTCGACACACGTGGCAGATGTCCCGTCCTTACCTCTTTGTTGATAAATGCAGTCCTTACCTCTTCATTGATAAATACATTTCTTACCTAGGAGAGGCACTTTGCATCCCAGAACCTGACTCCTACCCCATGCAGCTCCTCCTCAGGGCAGCAGCCCCAGAGCCCCCTCCATAGAAGGAACTATCTAATGTGTACACTCGTCAGGACCTCCAGCCTAAAGGGGCTCTGTGAACCAAAGCTCATGTAGAGAACTCTGGATGCGGGATGGACACAAGAGGTAGAGACAGAGAGAAATGACAGCGGACAAGGGCCAATAACATGAAAGCCAGCTTGCTAGAGCTGCCACTACATCCGCCCAATGGCCCTGCCTTCCATGGGGTCTTCTGGGTCTCCCACATCAATCCCACAAGACTTAAGCCAACCAGAATATGTACATGACCTTTGCAACCTGATGAGGCCTTTGAATACCACCTCTTTGGGCTACAATAGACTGGACTTTGTATAACGTGGAAAGATGGAATGAGGAGTCCAATCAGTGAAATGCCTTAGGGGCACCAGGGACCTGCTGCTGCCAAGACAGACTGGAGATATAAATTGAGGGGGAAAAAAGACAAACAAAACCTGAAGGCCACGGGGTGAAGCTACTTTCAGACAAGTGTGCTGGGGGCAGCCCTGAGAGCAAAAGATAACATTGTACTTATCTTAAATCCGGGTTCTTTCAAACCCATAATTCACATTCTATAAAATTCACCTTTTTTTCCAGAGAGAGAGAGAGAGAGAGGAGCAGGGGAGATGCACAGAAGGAGAAAGAGAATCTTAAGTAAGCTCCATGCTCAGCATGGAGCCCAGCATGGGGCCCGATCCCATGAACCTAGGATCATGACCTGAGCCAAAATCAAGAGTCAGACACTCAACCAAATGAGCCACCCAGATGCCCCAAAAGTCACCTTTTATACTTTTTTTTTTTTAATATTTGTATTTATTTCTAGGAGAGAGAGAGAGACAGCGTGAACAGGGAAGGGTCAGAGAGAGAGGGAGTCACAGACTGAAACAGGCTCCAGGCTCTGAGCTGGCAGTCAACACAGAGCCCGACGCGGGGCTCGAACCCACGAACTGTGAGATCATGACCTAAGCGAAAGTCGGACGCTTAACCGACTAAGCCACCCAGGCGCCCCTTGGTACATTTTTTTTTTTTTTTAACAACCTGGCTCTTTTGGATAAGCTCATCGTGTATGTCTGTAGGACCTCCCAAATTGTTCAGATATAATTAAAAATAACGTAAATCCATCATTCTNTCTTTCTTTCTTTCTTTCTTTCTTTCTTTCTTTCTTTCTTTCTTTCTTTCTTTCTTTCTTTCTTTTTCTTTCTTTCTTTCTCTCTCTCTCTCTCTCTCTTTCTTTCTTTTAATATTTTTTATTTATTTTTAGGAGAGAGAGAGACAGCGTGAGCAGGGGAGGGTCAGAGAGAGAGGGAGATACAGACTCTGAAACAGGCTCCAGGCTCTGAGCTGGCAGTCATCACAGAGCCGGATGCGGGGCTCGAACCCATGAACTGCGAGATCATGACCTAAGCGAAAGTTGGACGCTCAACCGACTAAGCCACCCAGGTGCCCCTTCCTTCCTTCCTTCCTTCCTTCCTTCCTTCCTTCCTTCCTTCCTTCCTTCTTTCTTTCTTTCTTTAATGTTTATTTATTTTTGAAAGAGAGAGAATGAGCCAAGAGGGGCAGAGAGAGGGGGGGACAGAGGATCCAAAGCAGGCTCTGTGCTAACAGCAGAGAGCCCAATGAGGGGCTCATACTCACAAACCGTGAGATCATGACCTGAGCCGAAGTCGATGCCAAACCAACGGAGCCACCCAGACACCCCTAATTCCAGAATATTTTCCTCACCCCAGAAAGAAACCCTGTGCCCATTAGCTGCCACCCCTCTCCCATTCGACACCCTTTTAGCCCCTACTAACCACTAATCTACTCTATCTGTCTGAGTTTGCCCATTTTGTATATTTCATATAAATGAAATCATATAATATGTGGCCTTTTGTGACTGGCCTCTTGCACGTAGCATAATGCTTTTAAGGTTCATCCATGCGGTAGCATGTATCAGAACTTCATTCTATTTTATGGCTGAATAAAGGTCCATTGTGTGGATAGACCACAATTTCTTTATTCATTCATCAGTCGATGGACACTTGGGTTGTTTCCACTTTTTGGTTACTATGAATAACGCTGCTGTGAACATTTGTGGGCATGTATGTTTTTGTATGAATGCATGCTTTCAGTTCTCTTGGGTATATACCTTGATACAGAATTGCTGGGATCTATGGCAATTTTATGCTTAACTTTTTAAAGAACCACCAAATTATTTTGCACATAGGTTACACTATTTTACATTCCCATCAACAGTGTATAAACATTCTAATTCCTCCACATCCTTGCCAACACTTTGTTATTACTTGTTTTTCTTTTTTCGATGATAATAATCCTAGTGTGTCTGAAGTGGTATCTCACTGTGGCTTTGAATTTGCATTTCCCTAATGACTAATGATGTTGAGTATCTTTTCATGTCTTATTGGCCATTTGTATCTCTTCTTTGGAGAAATGTCTAATTACATCCATTACATAATTTGGTTGTTTTTAAATGTTAAATTGAAAGAGTTCTTTATGGGGGTGCCTGGGTGGCTCAGTCAGTTGAGCATCTGACTTCGGCTCAGATCATGATCTTATGGTCCATGAGTTCGACCCCCGCGTTTAGCTCTGTGCTGACAGCTCCGAGCCTGGAGCCTGCTTCAGATTCTGTCTCGCTCTCTCTCCCTGCCCCTCCCCTACTCAATGCTCTGTCTGTCTCTCAAAAATAATACATAAGCATTAAAAAAAAGAGTTCTTTGTATATTCTGGTTACTAGATTCTTAGCAGATAAATGATTCACAAGTATTTTCTCCCATTCTGTGGGTTGTCACATTCTTAATAGTGTCCTTGGAAGTCCAAACCATTTTGATGTTTGATTTCCCAAAGTCTGATTGCCTTGCTCAAAGATGATCGTAAATACAGTGCCTTCCGAAATGGCCTGAATGCCTTTTAGCTGGTGGAAATTAACCACTCACATGGGAGACAGAGTCCCAGGGGGCAGCCAGAGGGAGGAGAGGTCCCCTTGGTCTGGAGCCCTCTTTGCTACGCACAGGTGGCCTTATAAAGAGCAGCATGTACTTTCCTTACGTCCAGGTACTGGGGCTAAGTGGGAAACTGAGGCTGCAGCTTTGTCTCCTTTGGGATCACGCTGGTGAGAACAGACCTACCATCCCCCATCCAAGCCCCACTGTTCTCTGCCTTATGACAACCATCTCTGACCAGGACCTAAACTTTATTGAGACTAAGAAAACTGTTCTGTAATCATAGAGGTTTTAACTTTCCCTAACGGCTACCAACCAGCTGTAATTTAGTAGAAACATGTTTAGAATTCTCTGAAAAGAGTCCAGTGGACAGAGACACAAAAGATAGTTTTGTTTTGTTTTTTTAAGGTTTGTTTTTGTGTTTGTTTGTTTTTGAGAGAGACAGACAGAGCTAGCTCAAGCAGGGGAGGGGAAGAGAGAGAGAGAATCCCAAGCAGGCTCTGCACTGTCCGCTCAGAGCCTGATGCAGGGCTCGAACTCACGAACCATGAGATTATGACCTGAGCCAAAATCAAGAGTTGGACACTTAACAGCCTGAGCCACCCAGGCGCCCGGAAAGACAGACTGGTTTACCCTTACATTGGACAGATGTCGGGAACCCCCTCCACTGCGTCGCCCACCGCCCTCACCATGGGATACCTGCCAGCCCAGACACTTACGCTCAGAGCGTGACTCCGCAGGTGCTCCTGTCGCGTGAACCGCTTGCCACACGTCTCGCAGGGGTAGGGCCGCTCGCCTGTGTGTGAGCGGATGTGCCGCTTAAGGATGCCCTTCTGTTTGGCAGTGTAAGGGCAGAAAGGACACTTGTGGAGCTTGATGGGGACCACCAGCACATCACCTGGGGAACCAAATGGGTTGATTTAGATGCACTGTAGGCAACAACACTGGCCACCCTCGGACAGGTGATCAGGAGCTGGGGAATCCCCCAGCCGGGATCAAGAGGGAGGACATCAACTCTACCACCAGCTAATGGTAAGACATTGCAAATTCCAAGTCTCTGTCTGGCTCCCCATCAGCTGGAGAGTCAAGAGTTGCAAAGAATGCCATACGGTACTGGCTTTCACCCCTTCTGTGGCTCAGTTAGAGATACAGCTTACACCACCACCTCAGAACTCACACGTCTTCCAGTGGATATGTGGAAAAACTTCCCAAAATAACACTCTGACAGCATCTATTCTATTTGATTTCATTTTAAGACCATGCTGATTGAGACCCTTTCATGCACTGAATTTCATCCCTCCCCCCACCCCCAATTCATACATTGAAGCCCTAAACGCCAGTGTGATTGTATTTGGAGCTAGGGAGGTAATTAAGGTTAAATGGGGTCGTAAGGGTGGAGCCCTACTCTGATAGGACTGGTGCCCTTATACCTCGAGGAGGAGACACCAGAGATCTCGTTCTGTCTCTGTTCATGCACAGAGGGAAGGCTGCGTGAGGACCGGCAAGATGGCAGCCGTCTGCCAGCAGGGAAGAAAAAGCCCTGCCGGCACCTTGATTTTGGACTCTGAGCCTCCAGAACTGTGAGAACACAAATTTCTTGTTGGTTAAGCCATGCAGTCTGTGGCGCTCTGCTGCAGCAGCCTGAACTAGCACAGACCTCCTGGATTGCTCTCATGACCCCCAAAAGTTTGGAAACCTGTGTTATGATGGATCAGACCCCTGGATCAGGATCCATGCTGTCTCTCTTGCTCTCGCTCTCTCGCTCTCTCTCGCTCTTTCTCTCACTCTTACTCTCTCTCTTTTTTAGGATCCATGTTCTCTCTCTCTTCTTTTTTTTCAATGTTTATTTATTTTTGAGAGACTGAGACAGAGTGTGAGCAGGGGAGGGGCAGAGAGAGAGGGAGACACAGAATCTGAAGCAGGCTCCAGGCTCTGAGCTGTCAGCACAGAGCCCGACGCAGGGCTCGAACCCACGAACTCTGAGCTCATGACCTGAGCCAAAGTTGGATGCTTAACCAACTGAGCCCCCCAGGTGCCCCAGGATCCACGTTCTCTTTGACAAGAGCTTCTAAGAACAGTTTCCAGGCCTGTGCAGAAGGGGTGTGCTATGACACAGACCCTAAACTAGAATTCGTGTTAACTCTGTATATCTGAAATCATCAACTATCCAGGGATTCACTTAATCTTTTCCAACTGTTTTTTTTCCCCATCTTACTCGCACACCCATTAAGGTTGACAACACGATTTTCCCCCAGATATAAAAAACTGTCCCTTTCAAGTCTTCCGAGTCACCCTTACTACAGTATTCCAAGATGTGTCCCCTCTATCCATGCTCTTCAGGACTTTCTGTAGACCTTGGTCATATCATATCATATAGGAATTGAAGCCCAGAGCCGGAGGTGGGGCTCAAACCTATGAACCATGAGATCATGACCTGAGGCAAAATTGACTTTTAACCAACTGAGCCACCCAGGTGCCCTTCTTGGACTTTATTCTTTAAGCAGCTAGAATCTTAAGGAGGGGAAGTACATGGTCAGACCTGAGTTTTAAGAGCTCCCTCAGAGGACAATGCAGGGGAAGGATTTAAGAGAGGCAAGATTAAAGGCAGGAAGAGAGGTGGGAGAGGATGAGAGATGTCATGAACTAAAGCAGAGAAGTAAAATTAACAGCACTCAGTGACCACATGGGGGAGGGGAGAGAAGAGAAAGATAAAATTTGAAATGATGTAGATTCTGGGTTAGCTGACTTGGTAGATGACAGTGGAATACACTGAGGCAGAGAACGCGGGAGAAAAGCAGGTACTGGGAACAATGAGGGGTTCAGTTTGGATTTTACTGTGTTTGGGGCAGGCCCAGAGCATCCATGGGGGAATATCTGGGTTAGACAGATACATCTGGAGCTTAGGGAAAGAGGGAAGAATACAGTTTCGCAAATCTTCAGCAAATTGGAGCGGTTGCTTTAATTGAGACCTGGCTCTCCCCCAAACACCCTGCTTCCCTTACCCCGTAACCTTGACACCTCTGGGTCGGAGGTGAGTAGGATTCTCCTTGGGCTTCACTGTCTTCTCCAGAGCACTGTCCCTCCCTCCATCCTCGAAAACCTTAAGATCTTTTGAAACTCACACCATCAATGATAGTGATGAGGGAGCTTGAGGCGGGTTGAGGACAAATTGCAAGCTGGCGCAGCCCCCTCCCCAGGTGGGATGTGTGTGATATTCCTGCCCAAGGACAGAGGAAATGGCCAACTGATAGAGATCACAGTCTTCTAGGACATGAGCTTACAAATATCTTAGTTTACAAATATCTTAGTAAATTATAAGAAAAAGGCAATCTTATCCATAGTCTAATCTCCAGAAACCTATAGATCCATTTCCTAGATCCCCAACATCACCCCTTAATAGTTATATGAAAAACAAAGGCAAGAAGGAAATGGCAGATAAAATTAAATTTCCTCATAACCTGCAGCAATCCATTGACAAATACTTGGGGCAAATAGAGAGTATAACATTTCTCCAGGAAACCCCTATGGTCCTAATGTTAATGGCTTACTTAAAGGGAAAACAATCAATAGCAAGGCCTAAGGTATTTTAGGAGTCCTCTGTAGCATATCAACGTCCCTCTGGAGGCCTCCCTTTTGACTTTACCTCCCCATCTCCATAGTATAAAATCAGCCATTCTTCACAACCTCAGTGCAGCTCTCTGTGCCCACAGATCCTGTCCCCATGCTTTAATAAAATCACCTTTTTGCACCAAAGATGTCTTCAAGAATTCTTTCTTGGGGGCGCCTGGGTAGCTCAGTCGGTTAAATGTTCGACTTCAGCTCAGATCATGATCTCGCGGTTCGTGGGTTCGAGTCCCGTGTCAGGTTCTGTGCTGACAGCTCAGAGCCTGCAGTCTGTTTCAGATTCTGTGTCTCCTTCTCTCTCTGACCCTCCCCTGTTCATGCTGTTTCTCTCTCTCTCAGAAATAAATAAAACATTAAAAAAAAATTTTTTTTAAAGAATTCTTTCTTGGCCATCAGCTCCAGACCACCCTACCATCACCCTAAAACCTCATCAATAATATACCAACCTCTCCTTATTTTAGTCATCCAGGAGCCACGAGGTCATCTCCTCATTCCGTGGAGATTTGATCGCATTGCCTTCAAACATAACTCCTAGGTAATTCTTGGTGTGAATACCAAAAATGACCCAACACTCTGGCCTCTCTGTTCCGTGACCTCCTTTCCTCCTTGTCTTCCATCCCATGTCAGCTATCTGGTCCTAGACCAAGAGCTCTCAACTTGACCCGCATATTAGAATCACTTGGGAAAGGGGTGCTTGGGTGGCTCAATCAGTTAAGCATCCAACTCTTGATTTTGGCTCCAGTCATGGTCTCACAGTTTGTGCGTTCAAGACCCATGTCAGGCTCTGCACTGACAGTGTGGAACCTGCTTGGGATTCTCTGTCTCTTCCTCTCTCTCTGCCCTACCCTTGCTCATGCTCTCTCTCAAATTAAATAAATAAACTTATAAAAAAAAAAAAAAAAGAATCATCTGGGAAACTAAAAAAGTACCGATGTCCAATCTCTGTTCTAAGCATATCTTTTTAAAATTTTTTAATGTTTGTTTTGGGGTGAGACAGAGCATGAGGGGGGGAGGGGCAGAAAGAGAGAGGGACAGAATCCAGACTCCAGGCTCCGAGCTGTCAGCACAGGGCTGGATGCGGGCTCAAACTCACCAACCCTGAGATCATGACCTGAGGCAAAGTCGAATGCTTAACCGACTGAGCCCCCCAAGTGCCCCCCAAGCATATTTTCAAAGCACCCCACTAGTGTATAGTTGGGAGCGCAAATCATGGCCCCATACCTAGATACTGCCAATAACTGAATTTGCTCCACAGCCCACATTTCAAGCACCCCGCTTCCCAGCCACTATCTCATATCTTTCCAGCTCACCCCCTAAATGTCCTTTCTTGGTTGGGACCAAGCCATGGACTATACTGCCATTTTACTGTCCTTTACCTCCTTGGGTTCTCATGCCTCTCCCTCCCCAGTTTAGTGCCCACAATGCATCACTGAAATCACTCCTTCATATCCACCTTCAACATAACTTGTCTAAATCAGCTGCTCAAGCTAAAAACCTTAGGGTCATCTTAACTTCTTTTTCTCATACCGCTCACATATGCCATTAGCACATCTGGTTGGTTCTACCTCGAGAGACAGTCCAGTCCTATCCAAGAAGACTTCTACCCACAGGGATCCTTTTAATATATGTCATTTCAAGTCAGTCTCAGCTGAGACCCTCTAGTGGGATCCCTTCCCAGAGTAAGACCCAAAGGTCTTTTCATGGCCTTCAGGGCCCTACCTGATCCGCGCTTACCCAAACTCTCTCCCCTCATCCTCCAGCACCCTCTGCCTCGCCCACTTCACCCCAGCCTCCACAGCACCCTGTTGTTCACTCGACAAGTGGGACCTGCAGTTTGCACCTCCCTCTTCCCTCTGCCCAGAATGTTCTTCTCACTGATTTACCTGCACAGTTTGCTCTCTTCCTCCCTCGCGGCTTCTGCTCAAAGGCAGCTTGTTAGAAAGGCCTTTCTTGTCAACACTAAATAAAATAGCATCCCCTTCACTCTCTATCAACTTTTCCCCTGCTTTCATTCTCTTCATTTTATATACTTATTTATACGTTTATTGTCTGTCTCCGGCATTGGAACATCAGCTCCATGAGGACAAGGGCTGCCTTTTGTTCACTCTGATGAACAGTGCCTGGCATATAGTCAGTGCTCAATAAATATCTGTTAAATGGTTGAATGATTGGACACACAGATCAATGGAATAGAATAGAGAGCCCACAAATAAACCTACGCTTATACAGTCAGTTAATCTAGGAAAAAGGAAGCAAGAATATACAAATGGGGAA